TCTTGCTGCATCCGATCGCGAGGCTGCCTCAGCTGAAAGATTAAATAATTTGGAGGCGGCCTTGAACTCCAAAACTGAAGAGTTGGTTGTTGCCGGGGTGAAGTATGCCCAATTGGAGGAGAAGTATAAGAAGACCATTGGGCATAATAGACTTTTCAGTTCTACAGTCCGTGATCTCGATGTCAGCCTCCAGTCCGTTAGATCTGCGTGGAAAATCTTTCTGTCGAGGTTGACTAACTTAAAGAAGAACTTAAGCGTGGAGCAGCATCCCTCGTTGTTGAAAAAACATATGTTATGTACATCATAATAGAAAAACCTTGGAAGAGGCTAAAACGGGTGTCATTGACTTTGATGCAGAAATCGCTAAAACCCTTGAGCTGGAGTCAACTGCTAAAAGGGGTCTCCCAACCAGAGCCGATGCTACCGATTCTTCTGATTCCGGTTTTGAATTCTCTGGAACTGAAGAGGAACCGGAAGGCAATGATGATTAAGGTCAAAATGATTAAGGCCAAGACATCGAGCCGGCGACAGATCCACCCCTTCTCTTGGGGGCACAAATGTTTCTCTTCCTCCGGGTTCCAGAGATGCAGCAGCTTAGCTTTTGATTTCTTTTTCCAACTTTTGTACATGTGCCATTTGGCACATTAGTTGTTAATAAAAATACTTTTTTCTAAAGTATTGTGTGAGTTTTCCTTTCTGCACGCTTTCATTTAAACATTTATGCATGTTTGAGCTTTGCGTCCTTTTTAGTGTTTTGCGCACGTTTCATTGTTTGCGTCTGATCATGCAAGCTTTGGGTGGATTTTCCCCTGAAAGTATTTGGATTTCGAGCACAAGTTCCTCCGAAATCAACCCTTTATCGTGAGGGTTTTCATAAGATACGACCCTCTTATGTTTACGGTGCTCTTGAAGAGGGCGTCTCCTGTTCATTAAGGCACTAGCATTTGAAGTACTTGTTTAACTTTCAAATGACAAAATCAATTCATAGTTCAAACAAGAAATAAGATAAAAATAAAAGGACTTTACTTTATTCCTTCCATTTTCAAAAGTACATAAGCATTCGTTGTGCTAAAAAGAAATTGCCATTTCTTGTGGCTAACTTGTACAACTTGTTTCCATGGGGCTGGCCGTGCAGTACCCGTACCCGATGATATAACTATGTTTCCGGGTTTCATATTCCGGTCAAAGTGGCAGTCGTTATTGTCGTATCCTCATATCATTCCCCCTGGTGTTCGAATGCGAATAATGCAAATTTGAACACTGGAAGTTTTACACCTTCGAGGATTCCACTAATGAATTGCTAGATAATCTTTAGTTCGGTAACGAACTTCAATTTATGATATGGGTCCAAAGACTATCTAACAATCCCCTAGTGGTTCGCACTTGTGAATGGTCATGTAATATTTGTTCGATAGCAAATGTAACTTCCGGTAGGAACTTTGCTATCGAGCAAAAGATTATCTAACTGTTGTGGAGTGGTTCTTCGCCTGTGTGCCTTGTTATTAAATGGTCTTATTGCTGTTGTTGAAACTTCCTTCGTAGTATGCTTTCCATTGCTACCTCGTTAAAAACCTTGTCAGAAAAACCCAATTTGGACAAAGCTAGACGAAGGAAAAAAGAGTGCAGCACATACTTTCAGTACATGTGATGTTCATCAGTAATAGTAACTCTTGAGGTGTGCCACGTTCCAGTTGCTTGGCAACTTTTCTCCATCTTGATTCCTTAACTCGTATGACCCTTTCTCGGTGAGTTGAAACCCGGTAAGGGCCTTCCCTTGTTGGACCTAACTTTCCTACATTGAGTTCCCGGGTGTTTTGAGTTACTTTCCTTAAAAACAAGTCTCCCACTTTGAAATAACGGAGGTTGGATCATCGATTGTAATATCTTTCTATTCTCTGCTTTTGAGCTGCCATCCTTATATGCGCCAAGTCCCTGCGTTCGTCAAGCAGCTCCAAATTGACCAGCATTGCTTCATTATTTGTTTCTTCATTTGCCCGGAAGTATCTCAATGTAGGCTCTCCTACTTCCACCGGGATTAGGGCTTATGCTCCGTATACAAGGGAGAAATAAGTCTCTTCCGTGCTTGATTTGGTCGTTGTTCGGTATGCCCATAATACACCTGGCAGCTCCTCGGGCCATTTACCTTTAGGTGCTTCCAATCTCAAAAAGAGATTTTGTATAATTACTTTGTTCATTGATTCCGCTTGACCATTTACACTCGGATGATAGGGCAAAGATGTGATCCTTTTAATTTTCAAGTCTTAAAGGAACTTTGTGACCTTTGCACCAATAAATGGTGGCCCGTTGTCGCCGGCTATCTCTTTTGGTATCCCAAATATGCAAATTATGTTCTCCCACAAGAAATCCACCACTTCACATTCACCGATCTTTTGATAAGGACCTGCTTCAACCCACTTAGAAAAATATTCAATTAAAATCAAAAGAAACCTTACCTTACCAGGTGCCGGCGGCAGTGGTCCTGCAATATCCATTCCCCACTTCATGAACGGCTATGGAGACAAAACTGAGTGCAATGGTTTTGTTGGTTGATGTACCAATGGTGCGTAGCGTTGGCACTTATCGCATTTTTGAACAAAAGATTTGACGTCTTGTTCCATTCGGGGCCAATAGTATCCTACCCATATCAATTTTAGCACTATGGAATTTGCACCCGAATGATTTCCACAGATCCCTTCACGGACTTCTCGCATAACATAATTAGCTTCGGAGGCTCCAAAATATCGGGCCAGCCGGCCTTAGAAAGATTTTCTATATAATTGACCTACTTTGAAACTATATCGCGCTGCCTTAACGCGCAGCGCCCGGTTTACCTTTGGATATACAGGAAATTTTCCGTGCTCAAGGTAATAAATGATCTCATTCCTCCAGTCCCAGACCAAAATAGTAGAGTTTACCTCGTAGTAGCTATCTGCGTCTAGAACCGAGTGCATAAGCTGTACGACCGTGCTGGAGTCCGATCCCTTCATTTTCGTTGACAAGCCAAGGTTAGATAATGCGTTCTCTTCTGCATTTTCTTCCCTCGTTATGCGTGACCACTCTCGGAACCGAGCAAGCAAAGCCTGAACCTTCACTATGTATTGCTGCATGCGTTCCTCTTTGGCTTCGAAGATCCCGTAGACCTGATTTACCACAGCTGGGAGTCGCATTTGATTTCTATGACCTCGGAATCTAGTCCCCGGGCTAATTCAAGCCCTACAATCAAAGCTTCATACTCCGCTTCGTTGTCAGTCAGAGGAATCGTTCTTATGGCCTGCATTAGGGTGAAGGTGTGGTTAATACTACGCCGAGCCGGACCCTTTTACGTTGGAAGCTTCGTTCGTAAATAGGGTCCAAACTCCCGATGTCAATTCTGACACCATCACTGCTTCTTTGGTTGCTAAGGGTAACAATCCCGGACTGAAATTGCCACAAAGTCGGCCAAAACTTGTGACTTAATCGAAGTCCTAGGTTTATATTCTATATCAACTTCACTCATTTCGACGGCCCACTTGGCCAGCCTACCCAAAAGTTTGGGTTTGTGAAGGATATTCCGCAGGGGAAAGGTGGTCACCACAACTATCAGGTGAAATTGAAAGTAAGGCCTTAGCTTCCGAGCGGCGACTACGAGGGCTAAGGCCAACTTCTCCATATATGGGTAGAGAGTTTCTGCTCCCGTTAAGATTCTACTAACATAATAAATGGGTGATTGCGTACCTTCATCCTCATGGACCAAAACCACGCTTACTGCTACCTCCGAGACTGCTGGGTAGATTAACAGTTTTTTGCCTTCCTCCGGCTTCGATAATAGCGGAGGACTTGACAAGTACCTTTTCAAATCCCTCAAAGCCTGGTGACATTCTGGGGTCCATTTGAAGTTGTTCTTCTTTTGAGTAACAAGAAGAAATTATGGCATTTCTCTGAAGGCTAGGAAATGAACCTGCTCAAAACAACCAATCTTCCCGTGAGCCTTTGGACCTCTTTTACGCTTGATAGCTGGTCCGGAATGTCTTCGATGGATTTGATTTTATTGGGGTTAACCTCAATCCCACTTTGTGACACCAGGAATCCCGAGAACTTGACGGACTGACCCCGAATGCACACTCCTTGCGTTTAAGCTTCATGTTATGCTTCCTTAGGATGTCAAAAGTTTCTTGCAAGTGTTTAAGATGATCACCTGCGTTCGAAGACTTAACAAGTATATCGTCTATATAAACTTTCATGATTTTCCCTATTTTTTTCAAACATTTTGTTTACGAGCCGCTGGTGAGTGGCTCCGACGTTCTTTAGCCCGAAGGGCATCACATTATAGCAATATGTGCCAAAATTTGTTATGAACGAAGTTTTTACTGATCCTCCGGGTTTGTCTTAATTTGGTTGTACCCGGAGTAAGCATCGAGGAATCTCATTAACTCATGCCCATCCGTTGCATCAATCATTTGATCAATGTTCGGCAATAGGAACGAGTCCTTTGGGTGCGCCTTATTTAAGTCCTTATAGTCTATGCACATGCAAAATGTATTATTCTTCTTTGGAACCACTACTACGTTAGCTAGCAAGTCTGGATAATTTACCTCTCGGATTGAACCGATACCAAGTAGGAGAGTTACCTCTTCTTTGACGAATTTGTTTCTGGCCTCGACAATAGGACATTTTTTCAGTCTTACCGGAGGAATATTGGGATTCATGCTTAGCTTGTGTACGGCCATTTCCGGGGGGATACCTGTCATATCCGCATGCGACCACACAAAACAATCGACGTTAAATTTAAGAAATTCTATAAATCCAGACCTTAGTTCGGGGTGCAGTCCTGTCCCTAAGTGGAATTTCCTCTGCAAGAATTTTTAAAATAATGCGACTTGCTCAAGCTCTTCCGCTGTGAAATTTGTTGCGTCCGTCTCTTCTGGTACTTGGAAATACCTTGGCACCTGATAAGATTCCGACGCCTCTTCCCTCTGGTTGACCTCGCTTGACTCAGGGGCAGGTGCCGGTTCCTGTAATTGCTATGCCGCATGCTCCATCCCTTTGCTACTGAAGACCAAAATTGCATTCATCTCCCTTGTCGCTGGTTGGTCACCTCTTATTTGTTCAATTCCGTCGGGAGTTGGGAATTTCAGCAACTGGTGATATGTCGATGGCACAACCTTCATCTCGTGCAACCATGGTCTTCCCAGGATAATACTGTAGCCCACATCACCATCCACAACCTCGAAAATGGTCGTCTTCATCACCCCTTCGGCATTCGTGGGCGGCGGATCTCTCATCGGGTTGTCAAGCTTGCTAGGTTAAACCCGGCAAGGAGTTTTGTGGCCGGAATAATGCTTCCGGTGTTCTTGGCTTGCTCCAATACCTCCATTGTATAATATTGGCCAAACTCCCTGGATCCACTAGAACACGCTTGATTTTATAATCTAATACATTTAAAGAGATTGCTAATGCATCGTTGTGCGGTAGCAACAATCCATCAGTGTACTCTTCCGTGAAAGTGATGTCATCTTTAGCGACTTCCCGGAGTCTCTTGATGTGGGTTACTAGCATCTTCGTCTTTTTTGCCGTCGCGAATGTAACTCCGTTAATCTTGCCTCCCCCTCCCCCCTCCCCCCGAAAATAGTGTTGATCATCAGGCGTGGGGGATCTTCTCCTGCTTTTGACGGCTTTGTGTTGTCACGATTGCGATCGTAATTATTTTTAGCCCGGTTACTTAAAAATTCCCTGCGATCGCATATTTTTCAGCAGTGTCGCCACCTCTTTGCGTAGATGCTGGCAATCCCTGGTCCAATGACCATTTGTCTTGTGGTATTCACACCACAAATTAGGATCCCTCTGGCTGGGATCAGATCTCATTGGCTTTGGGAATCGTGCTTCTTTAGTGTTCCTCATAGACGACACAAACTCTATTACATTGACATTGAAGTTATATTTTGAAAGTCTATGGTAGGAAGAATCTCGAGAACCCGATGTTTCCTTGTCTTGTAACGACCTGTTGTTTCGGCCGCGAACAGTTCTTCTATCGGTAATGAACCTATCCGCCGACCGAAAACCTCTGTCGCGTCCTTCGGCCCGTTCATAGGGCAAAAATCGGCTCCTCGAAGACTGTCGATATGTGTTGAAATCATCTTTTGATATCTCTTTATTCTTCTCCCGGCCCCAAATCTTAATCGATGCCGGAAAACCGAGCTGATCATCTTCAATCCTTATCTTTGACTCGTATCGATTGTGAACATCCGCCCAAGTTGTCGCTTGCAACTCAAGCAAGCTTTCTTTCAACTTCCGGGAAGCATCAGAACTTCTCGGATTAAAATCCTTGGTGAATGCTTTAGCGGCCCATTCATCCGGAACGACCGGTAGCAGCATCCTTTCCTTGTGGAACCGAGGTTACAAATTCCCGCAGCAAATCAGACTCTCCTTGTGCAATCCTGAATATATCGGCCTTTCGGGCATGTACCTTTCTGGCCCTGGCATGGGCCTTAATGAAAGAATCCGCGGGCATTTCGCAAGGAGTCTATAGAATGCTCGGGCAAAAGCGAATACCACGCCAAGGCTCCCTTCGTGAGAGTCTCTCCGAATTTCTTTAGCAAAACTGACTCGATCTCGTGGGGATCGTTCCCCTTCACCGTCATTGTATAGGTGGTGATATGCTCCTGAGGATATGAAGTCTCATCATATTTTGGCACGTCATACATTTTAAATCGCTTCGGGATCTGGTGTCGTGCTTGGTTTGTATAGCAATTGAGTGTACTTCTTTGAATCCGGCCCTTTCAGCACTGATGGTGCGCCCAAAATTTGGTCTATACAGGCGTTTACTTTCCTCATAACCGTATGAGTTCGCTTTTGAAGGGATCACTCTCATTGTTGAGACCAGATCCGCTCCCCCCGGCCCCATCGAAGCCGACCTCTCCCTTCGGGGTGTTGTTGTCGACCCTCTGCGCTGTTTGATTTGTGGGAGCACCAGGAGGAACTGGACCTCGTCCATTAGTGTTATTGGAAGTACCCGATAACGCCTGCTTCAGTTTTGTCATAACCTTATCCTGCTGTGTGAGATGGCCTAAAATGGCCTCATGTTGCTCCTGCAACACTTTTACCGCTTCGACGACATGCTCTTCTTCAGCATCATCAGGAGTCGCCTCTTGAACATGTCGTGTGTACTGCCTTTCGTGGACCGGTGTGGCTTCGTTCCCCTCACTACGGGTATCGCTGATTGAATCCTCGTGCCGAGACTAATTTTCCTGGGCCTCAAGGTTGTGTGTGTTGTTAACACCATTATCTGCCATTCTCTATGATTTTTCGCTAAGAACAAATAATCAAACACGTTAGTAAAAGAGGCAAGGACCAACTTAATTACACAACTGTCTAAGCCCCACAGTGGGCGCCAAACTATTTACTCATAAAACGGTACAGTTGAATTTATACGTGATTTCTAGATAAGTGAATTAATTTGATCCTAAAATAATATATGAATTAGACAAAATATAATACTTAGCCTTGGGATGGAGATAAAGTAGCAGAAATAGTAATTCCGGGAGCAGGGCTTCCGGGGACAACAACAACAACGATATCAGTAAACAAGAAGATAAAATTATATTGAGCTTTGAATAGAGTGTAGCGTATGTTTGCCAGAAAATTCATGTCCTTTATAATGATAATAGAGCTTACTATTTATACCTGCACCTAGGGAACAAGGTAGTAGGATTAAGCCCCTCTTTAATGTTAGTTATGAGGGCCATTGAAGAATGTGTAATGACAGGCGGTGAATGCCATATTCCTTGTAACATGCAGTGTACTTAATGCTGTAGAATATTCCTCATTAAATACAACCGGGTGGCAGGCATTTATTTCATCTTTATGAGTATCTTTCTCTATAGTAACAGACGTGATCGTTGCCTTCGGATTCAACTATCTTCTGTCTCCAGCTCCACGTGTCACTTCCTCATGCGATCATTTAATATAAACATATTTTACGCTATACAGTGACCATATGTGTGCAATAGAAATAATTGTTTGACTTTCCTGTTATAAACGAAAGAAAAGTAACTTTAGACCATAATTTTGGATAGTTGGGTGATCATCTGAATAATGGATTATTTAATTGCTCCACTTTTTTTCTTTTTAATTTGGTTTAATATTCAATTTGATACTTAGATTTTTATTCTTACAAAGTAATTTTTTAAAAGGCATTTGATTATTAGCTAAATTTATGTGGTATAATGCATATACATGTATGATTGAATTAGGCATAATGCATGAATACACATATGGTTGAGGTAGGTATAATACATAAACACGCGCATATTATTATTATTAGTCCTCATCTCTTTATCTCCTCTCCTCTCCCCCCTTTGTCTTCTTCTTACTTAATTTATTTTCCTCTCTCCCCTTTTCTCTTATTCTTTATGTCCTTTTCCCTTCTTCTTGTCAATTTCTCTCGCCTCCTATCCTTTCAAAATTTTGATCCCCTCAATTCCGTTAACCAACCAGTCATCGTTACGATAAAATGTTAACTTTTTATAATTCGATGATAAATATGTATTTATAATTGAATGTGAATAGGAAGCTTATATGATAACCTTTGGATAGTCTACATCATTCTGAATTTCGCGAGCACAACTCCTTAGAATTCTCTATTAATATAAAAGTTATTGATTTTCTAGCGACTCCATATTACCATTTTCTATTTAGATTTAGTACATCTGAAATGCCTGAATTTGTTCGTATTTTGATTCTTATACTATCCGTTGAACGCATTACAATATTAAAAATACGGTAGAGAAGGGTGGTAGCTAATTGTGGTGGATGGAAGAAAAAGATATTAAAACAATAAAGATGAGGAATTCCTCTAGTAAAAAATTAAGGAGGAGAAACTTGGATATAATTGAGATTTTTTGTAATGGCCTAGGTTCAACTGTTAGAGTATTGTTTGCTATGACCTAACCTTTTATATCACATGGTTTTATTCCCTTGGGTTGTAGTTTAAAAAACGTCACGACACTTGAATTCATGCACCTTCTTATGTGCCGCCTAACTTTCACCTATCGTTAGGATGTGAGATTTGCTTAATGCAAGTATCAAACGAAATCCCTTTTCGCATTCAACCGCCAACGGTCCGTGAGCCGTTGCATTCACTTGTAGAGGCTCAGGCTTCTTGTATGTATTTTTCTCTCATTCCCATGTGGAATTCGCCAAGGCAAGCTTCATATCAAAACCTCCATTCAAGTTCAAGTATTAGGGGTTCGTAGGTTGTTATATTCCCATAAGAATTGTCTAATAGTTATGTCCCAACTATAAGGGGTCGTTTGGTGGGAAATAAGTTATTTCAAGATTAATTATCCCGAAATTTTTGTGATTGTTATCCCACCTTCCCATAAGGATAAAAATAACACTACAATCCCGGAATGACTAATCCCGAGATTAGTTATCGCGATTATTCCAACCAAACATGGAATAAACTCATCTCAAATCTAATTACGGAATTAATTATTCCTTATCACTCGCACTAAAAGAGCCCTAGAAGTATTGTTAGTTATGGACCAACCTTGTGGCCCTACGATTTTATCCCCTTTGATTTTTAACCCCAAAGGCGCCTGACGGTTGAATTCATGAAATCACGTTATATGACCCCTGAATTTTCTCTCGTATTCTGTTGTGTAATTTGCCTAAGGAAAGCTTCACAAAAAACCTTCTTTTCGAGTTTAACCGCCAATAATTTGTTGGCAATTGAGTATAAATGTATTCTGTCAGAAAATCAATTTGTGTTTGACCCATATTAATAAAAGTGTTTTGTGTGTCAAACTAGGAAACACGATATTTAAATTTGCTTTTGTAATTAGTATTATTGAAAATATAATATAAAATTCTTTAATTGACTTTTCAGTTTTATTTAATTAAAACATAAAGAATAAAGTATCTAAACTCATTGAACTTCTTTATCAATATAAATATTATTAATTCAAAGTGATAATATCTCTCACCTTATATTGATTACTCGATTTTCACATGATTTTTTATATCAAATATATCGTTCAATATGTATACATCTTACATAATTATATTTGTAACGAAAGACAAGTATGTTAAATCAAGGATAATCGTTATTAATAAATATAAAAATTAGGTAAGATTATTTTTCTTTTGAAAAGCAATTTTCTACTTATACTTCTATTCCAAGGAGAAACATAATTTCTACTTCTTACCCGCATCAGGAAAACAACTTATTGTAATGCTTACAATCACTAAATTTTTGTAAGCTTCTTAACTCTTCAAAAGTGTACTTCTTTGAATAAGTCAGAAGAGCTTGGCCAAATGTGTTTCGTAACCTAACTAACTTTGGGGTAAATTTTATATTGGACCCAATTATTTGAAGGGATTTTTTCATTCATATAGAATATTTAATACTTATTTACCAAAATTGTCCTAGTTTTATATATTACTAGCCATAAATAAAAATTACTTACAAATTATATACAATTCATTATTAGTGTCTTAAATTAGGGAATTTAATAGTGGCGACTGAGGGGTCTGAGTTTGCTGGATTGGTTGTGCAG